TACTGGTCATCATTATCAGTTTAGAGGGGCTGAAAGGTCATTTTAAAAATGTAATGCAATGAAACCATAATGAAAATACCTGTGGATAATGCCTACTTCCTTAGCAAGGCCAGGATCAACTTCAGAAATACCACAGTCGGTGTGATTAGTGATATAAGAGAGAAAGCACAAAGGGGTCACTTGAGTTTGCACTTCAGATGGAGCCACATGCCCTTTACCTGACAATAACTGTATCTACTTCTGTATCCTCGTATTTGTAACACAAGGTATAACCACTTATAGTTTATCTCACATTGACATGCTAACAGTCAGTTACAAGAAGAGGAGGGGAGGGTTGGCTTTCTCTTTTCAATTTTTGTTTTGTTTTGTTTTTCAAGACAGGGTTTCTCTGTATAGCTTTGGAGCCTATCCTGGCACTCGCTCTGGAGACCAGGCTGGCCTCGAACTCACAGAGATTTGCCTGCCTCTGCTTCACGATAGTGCTGGGATTAAGGGCGTGCGCCACCAATGCCCAGCCTTCTTTTCAATTTTTAAGTTAGCATGCATAGTAATAGACTTAATTCTGGCATTTTCATACATGTATGCCATTCTTGCTTTTAGCAAACATATAAAGGCTTTTGACTGACGTGTTTGTAAACATTTAATAGCACAACTAATGGCAATTATTACTTGTAATGTATTGTTTTAGTTCCCTCTTAGTACCATCTTAGTAAATCCCTGTAAGTTAAATGGTTATAAGGATATGAGTAGTACTATATAGATTTGTAGGCTGTAAGAAGACATGGATCTCACTGAACAAAAATGAAGGTGTTGTCAGGGCCATGTTCCTTTGTGGAGGTCCATTTCCTTGCTCTTTCTAACATGAAAAGGCTGCTCACATTCCTTTACTGAGGGAATTCTCTTTTTCCCAAAGGCAGCATCAGCAGCAGTAGATTGGCCCTTTGGCAATAGTCACGTCTCAATGAAGTCAGAAAAAAATCTCCTCTTTTAATGATTCATGTAATTTCAGAAGATTTCCCCAATAGTCTAAAATTGGATTCCTTAGGCTTAGTCGCATTTGAAAACCCATTTTGCACTGTTCTGTAAAACAGCACATTCACTGTTCGGGGATTAGCCCGAAGGCATTTTTTTAACCTTTTGTTTTCATTTAAAAATTTAGTTTTCATTTTACATACCAACCCCAGTTCCCTTCCCTCCCTTCTCCTAATGCCCCATGTCCACCTGCTTCCAACCCTCCCATCCACTCCTCAGAGGGGTAAGGCTCCTGAAGGCAGTTTTGAGTGGCTGTTTTTCTACCTCAACTTCTGTTTCCAAGTTAAATGTTTTCTTATAAAATAAGTGTGTGTTTTTTAAAAGTTGATTAAGAGAAAAAGCAGTAAATAAAATGTGTATGAATATGGCAAAAAAAACAAACAAACTGTCACTAGCATCAGTAATACTGGGATGCACTTCAGCTGCAAGAGGGCCCTCTCTCTTCAAGTGGAACTCCAGACCTTGACCACAGTTACTCAGCTCTTCATCCTAAAGAAAAGGTTGATGAGTAGGCAGCCTCCAAAGGTCCCTCCAGCTCTATTTAACCAATTCTGTGTAAGTGGATATTTATTGCATGCGTCTCCATGTCAGCACCAAGTACTGTGCCATTTGTCTCTAACATGAATGATTCTGAACATTGGTTCTACCCGAAGATGCTGTTACCCGAGAATGCTGCTGTCATCCCACCAGGGTTAGATTCCAGTTTTATTTTCCTATTTGTTTGTTTGGTTCAAATAAAAAAATAGCTTGGGAAACTAAATTCTAGGTCTTTTGCTTGGCAAAGCACTCTGCAGAGCAGCTGTATCTCCAGGATTCTTTAATGTGACATTTTTAAATACTGAAGCTTGTTGTCAGTTGTTCTCATTCCCCAAATTCAGCCAAATAGGAAGTTCTGGAAAGGTAGAGGGTGCTCAGCTGGTGAAATAACCTTCACACTGCATCATTTAGCATGTCAACAGAGTGCTAGCTAACACATTCTCCAAGTGCATATCTTCTTTACATTGATTTTTCTTAAGGGATAAACACCTGTACTTGAGATACTAGGTTCTTACAATTTTAATAATTTTTAGTTGATCTTTTGTTCTTGTAATGAAAACTACATACTGAACAGGTTTTCTTTAATTCCTGTCTTCAGTACGAAAAATTACAAATTTCCATATTCCCTAAAATAACCTATAATTTGTATAAAATAACATATATTCCTGAACTGTAATTCCAGAATGTGAAGACTCCATTTTCCTGATTACCTCATACATAGCAAAAGTCTGACATCCACCCCACTGACTCTCCCCTAGTCTTTCCCCTTTTGCATCGTTCCAATTACAGGTAAATGCTTGGTATCGCCCAATAGCACAAGATAAATAAGCTTGGAAGGTTTCCTAGCAACACATTGCTCTGGGAACATGTTCTGTTTCCCTGAAGAAGATGAAGCCAAGCATCATAGTCTCAGCCAGATAGGAAGGATTCACTTACAGAGGGGGTTTAGTGCATTTAAAATATATTATTATTACTATTATTATTATTATTATTATTATTCAGTGTTAAATACCTTTTCATTTTTTCACATTGAAATTAACCTCTTCATATAAACTGTAAGCCTGAGTTTTACATGTCAAAAAAAAAAAACTTAGTTAATAGTTTGAAGATTTTCAAGGAATAAACTTATTTTTAAGTTATTGATGAATGGTTCCACTGTAGAACTATATATAAAATACTTCCACATGGGACTGATGCTCAGCCTAGTTCATGGTGGTATAGCAGTCCAACTACAAAAATGTTGGAAGACTTCTAATCCGCTGGGAATGCTGCTGGATTCCACTCCCCTTCACAGTTCCCTTAGTACTCCCCTCCTCTGATCCTCGGTTTACTGCTTAAAACCTGGAAACACTCTCCTGTTTTTCCTTGACACAGGGCTGTCTCAGCACCAGTGATTTGCTACTTGATCTTAAGAGTCTATTTTCAATTTTCTGAATGAATGATTAACAAATAGAAAACTGAAAGAAAAAGAGGGCACCATCGAAATCAAGAAAAGATGTTTTGCTAGTGCAGGATCTTGTATCTTTCTCCTGTTTGGCTAGTGATCTGTAATATCACTCAGTGGGCAGGTGGCACTTTCCTTTCTGTTCAATCTAGTTGGTCACAGTGTGCCAGGAAAGTCTCCTGACATGGAGCAATCAAGGATAAGTGTTTCTCATGACAAGATTCAACAGTGGCTTTGCAGTTCAGTCACACCCTGGAGAATGTCCTCACTTCTTCACTAGCTGGAAAATATTTCCCCATAAGCCGGGTGAAAAAAGTCTCATACTGTGGTTATTGAATAGGTTGCTCTGTGTATTGGGTTTGGACCATGTTTTGTAAAAATTCCTGTCATGCTCAACAGCAAATCACTGCAGTACTCTGATGGTGAATACCAAGGTAATCAGAACGAAAGAACAATGCTGGTATCTTTATTTAACAAACTCTCTGGCTAGATTGCAGGGAATTGATGTTATCCTCAATAACTTTTCTGTTACCCCAGAAAAGTCTAAGTATCTTCATGCCAGTAATTCTGTTCTCTTTGGCTCTTCTATTTTCTAAACATTATATAGTGAACTCAGCAGGAAGCAACTTGTGGAGGCTTAGGATGAGCCAAATCCTTTTAAAAGTCAGCTGTGTGCTAAGGGTATAATCATCTTCTTTGCCTTCACTGATTCCTAGAGAAGACATACGTAGCATGTTTATAGACTTTAAAACAACCCAAAATAAAACTTTCTTCATTTCAAGTCCCTTTCTTTGGGTCTAGAGTTAAGAGAATTTTGATGTTTGAAAGAATTATATAGGGCTTAGATGCTGGTAGATATAAATACAACTAGAAAGAAAAGAAGAAATTATATAGTTATTATACAACAGTGAAAATGGACTTTATCAGTCACAAAGAACAGAATAGATTCTAATTTGTTAATTTTTACTGAATAAGTTTTTATTAAAAATTTCTACAGACCAGGCAGTATTTTAGATACATTATCTATTTCATCATTAATTCTACTAACAACCTTTACCAAGTAGAAATCTATTTGCAATTTTTGAGTGAAGAAACTGTGCTGGACCGCTAAGAGTCTAGTTGTTGAAATATTACCATTCATAAATAGTGGTCATTCAGATACTGGTTTCTTTACTAACAGTTTTGTGACCCACATCTCGTGTTTATTCTTAGAATTCTAATATTGAAAGATTGTGGTCTTTAGAGAAAAATAAGCAACTATCTTTTTGTTTTGATTGTAACGGGCTCTCACTGTGTAGCCTGGCTAGCCTGGAACTTGCTGTGTAGACCAAGCCATCCTCAGACTCACAGAATTCCACCTGCCTCTGCCTCCTGAGTGTGCTGCTATGCCCAATTTAACAGCTGTCTTTTGAAGATGACATAATCTTAGCAGGAAATAGATTATTTGTTTCACTTTTATTTCATTCAGCATAATCTTCTCACATCTTCATGTATCAGTGTCAGACTTTACAACACTTTTGCTTATGATATTGTTACTCAGGTTTTTATTTTTATAAAGAAGAAATATTCACTTTGCAGTATGATAAATTACACCTAATGATAGCTAAAATTAATAATGTTAAATTTATTCACAAAATATGTTGTAACATTAGCATTATGGTAGAACATGGACAAACCAATTATTTTTGTAACATTGCAACAGAGCCACATACATTTGTTTATCTACTGCCTATGGCACCTTGTGTCCCAGCAGAGTTGAATGGTATATCGTCAATGGTATGGCTTACAGAGCCTGCAGTGTGTACTACCCTTGCCATCACAGGAAAAGTCTACTAGACTCTATTCTAGAATCTGGTTTTTACCCCCACCTTTGAGTTGGAAATGCTGCTTTAGAATACCAGAAACATAGTTGGAAGACACTTTAAATGTATGTTTTTTTTTCTAATATGAGGTTCTTATCTAACATGTTGTTCTCCAAATACTGCAGGTACCAACCAAAAAGCTGAAGAAATATGAAAAAGAATATCAGGCAATGCGAGAGAATCAGCTGCAACAGGAAGACCCAATGGACAGATACAAGGTATGAGAGATGCTTGGCACTTACCAGGGCACAAAGGACTTGATTGCCCCTAATTCAGCAGGTATGGTGAGTTCAGTTCCCTCTGCTCCACTCTGAACCATTCAGACAGTGACATGCTGACTATGCCTGTGTCTTCCTTTTCAACTGACTCCCAAGTATTCAACCATAATATTTCTTTTCTTTCAGTTTGTGTATTTATAGGTAACTCCAGCTGTTGCATGTGTACTGAGAATCTTCATGAGAAGCTGAGAGAAAGGGAAAACATGGCTTTCTGCTTTCAAAAATGAGGAAAATAAAACAGAAAATGCCAAAAAGTACTGTCTTAGCTGTGCATGATCACTTCCACAGAGACTCTTAAATGTGACTGTTCCAAGACTGACTCAAGGATGTTGCAAACCTGTCCCTGACTGTAGCAGATGTTAAAAATACAAACTCAGAAGGAAAAATAAAACCACAAAGATGTATCAAGCACAGAAATGTGTTTGTTGCAATGTTTCATTTCCACAAACAAATCAGAGATAACAATGACATTTGCGTGTAGTTTCAGAATCAAAATTATTTTATTTGTATCTTCATTAGTTTGGGTATTTAAAAAGTTGTGTCATCACAAGGACAGCTCTTTTCAGTGGTAATTAGCAGCATTGGCCACAGCATGCAGTGTTGGGAAACAGTAATTTGTAATTTATTTTTTACCTTCTGAAATGTTATTGTCTTCTGTTAGCTGTTTCAATTCTTGAGACTCATACAGATATGTCAGAGTCCCTCCTCACTACATCAGTATCCACTGATACCTAAATACCCCTCCAAGGAAAGTATTATGGTGGCATTCCTAATGGAACCACCCACACTGAGATGGCTTTTACCTCCATAACCAGAGTTGCCACTGTGATTGGAAAGGTATATGTTGGCAGCAGTCACATTGTGCATCTTGATTTTTTTTTGTTGAACAGAACAGCAGTTAATGCTCACAGAGGAGCATGGTGAACAGAGTCTGTGGGCTTCAGAGTCAAACAGACTTGATCTAAATTCCTGGCTTTCTGGAAAAGGCAACAGGATTTGAAATCATAGATGAGGATTTTGGTCCCTATGTTACTGGTCAGCATTTTGAGTGAGTCATTGAACCTTTCAAATACATATGCATATATGATTTTGTGGTAGATTACTGTGAGATTGAAGGCTGTCATATGTTAAGTACTCAGAACATAATTGGTGTTTAGTAAATGGTTATTGGTTTTTAAACTCTGCTAGTACAAGCATGACTTAGAATAATATAAACTTGCTTGGATGTGCATCTCCAGTATTCACTGATCATCTTCCTATTTTAGGTAACTGTTACTACCCTATAGTTATATCATCAGTCGGTATATTTCTTCTCTCCCTCTAGAACTGGCTTGAGAAATGAAAATAATTCCACATATGGTTATGATAGATAATTCTTTACCAGATTATCTTCTTAGTAAATCTAGTTTTAATGCCAGACCTAAGATACAGAAAGGTATGAACAGACTCAAGATTAACTGTTAATGATCAAAATAAAAGCCCTTTAATTGTTTGATCATTCTAATCTTCAGAATACTTCCACCATTATGAATAAAGTGCTTTTAGATAAAAGAGAAGGAAATGACAGCCCAAACTTACATAATTACATAGGCACAAACTGAGCACAGTTGCATGCACCTAGGTGGCTCTGGGATGGATCATTCATGTTCAGGAGTTTGAAACCAGCAGCACAGCGAGACCCTATCTAAAAACACAAAATAAAACAGCAGCCTCACAGAGCCTAAAGAGGCTATACAACAACTGAACTGTAACTGTGTCTTATGTCCTTTTTGTGTCAAGACAGGCATGTATAAACACTTATAAGCCGTAGGATTTTTGTACAGTTTTCATTGATATAAAATCACACTGTCTGCTTTAAAAATAGGTATTTTAGGTTGAAGTGTTGTAGAGTTTGGTTTTTTTGTTTGTTTGGTTTTATTTTGACAGGGTCTTGCTCTGTATTCCAGGCTGATCTTTATTTAGGCCTGGCTACCACTCCCATCCCATTGTAGCCTTTTATGTGCACACATCACACGCTCTCTACCACTATCTCTTTTTTATGGTTAGAGTGGCTTCCTAGTATCCTATGTAATCAATATTTCTATGCCTTTTTAATAATGTGTAGGTATCAGTCCCAATGATCTACTTGGCAAAATTATAATCAAGTTATAATTATATTTCAAGCTAGTAATTGCCAACATAGTTATAGCTGTCAACAGGTGTGGTCCTTCAGGTACAAATAAATCTGGTTTAATAAGTAAATTTAGGTTAGCTGGAGAAATGGCTCTTCCAGGTAAAGGGACTTGTTTCCAATCCTGATGACCTGAGTTCAATTTCCTGGATCCACAGATGAAGGAGAAAAACTGACTCCCAAAAGTTGTCCTGTGACCTGTCCACTCATACTGTGGCATATGCATGCCTACATGTATAACACACAAGTAAGCAACAGCTGGGTGTGGTGGTGCATGACTTTGATCACAGTACTCCGGTGGCAGGGGCAGGTGGACCTCTGAGTTCAAGGCCCATTTTGTCTACAGAGCAAGTTCCAGGACAGCCATGGCTACACAGAGAAACCCTGTCTCCAAAAACAAAAACCAAAAAAGAAAAAGTAAAGAAAAAACCAAATAAGTAAATAAATACATTTAAGGAAGAAAATTATAATTAATATAACAGAGTACCTTAAAAATACCTCTGACATCTTCTGGTCTCTTTGGGGAATAAGCTCTTTTCATTTATTAGAGAATGTCATAAAGACATTGAGAACTCACACCTGTTCAGGAACAATTCCTCCTTCACCATTGGAACCCATATTGCATAAATTGCCATGTCAACCTCCAGCTTGCCATATGGCAAGAGCGTTGGAAAGACTGTGGGTACTTAAAAATAAAAACAAAACCCAGAAATGTCATACCATAAACTGTTCCCATTTAGTGCTATTGTTTCTCCCATACTTGATGGCATTTTGAAGAAGGGCTTTTGGAAAAAAGTGAAAGCTGGCATTAAAGATCCAGGAATGCATGGAACAGTTACTTTTTGCTATATCAGTCTAAACATATGGTCTAGGGGTATACCTCAGGGGTAAAGCACTTGCCTAACATGTGAGAGCCCGTAGGTCAATGCACAGTAGCGCCCTCCTTCATGCCCTCCCATGTAAGCATGCTCTTCGTGCCTATTACATTGTAAGTTTGTTACTGGACTCACTTAATGCAACACTTCAGTCCCAACTATGAATGGTGTTGCTATAATTTTAAAATTCTAAGCATGATGCAATGCTCAAAAATGATGGCTATACAGTTTCATGTAACTGAATTGTATACTAAAGCAAGGTTTTTTTAGACATCCTGCAATCCCAGCACATAAGAGGCTTGAGGCAGATGGTCAAGAGTTTGAAGCCATCTTGGTCCACATAGTGAGACCATGGCTCAACAATCCCTCTTCAAAAAGCATATGATTTTATAGTATACAGATGAAATCTGTACCTAACCCAATCTAACTCAAGACAAATGTTTCAGAATATTGACTTTTAGACCACCCTCTTTGTTTTCTGTTTCTTTTTTCTTTATCTTGGGTGTGTGTGTGTGTGTGTGTGTGTGTGTGTGTGTGTGTGTGCGCACGCGCGAGCACATGCATATACAGGTTTGTGCAGGCACAAGTATGTGCAAATGGGCATGGAGACTAAATGTCAATGTCTGGTGTCTTCCTCAGTTACTCTCTACCTCATTTTTTGAGGTGGGAATTTTCACAGAGCCTGAAGCTCATTAATTTGGCTACTCAGTGAGCTCACACACAGCTACACTATTTGTTGTCTGTTTGTTTGCTTACCTGTTTTTTATGTAGATGCTAAAGACCTCAACTCGGGTCTTAATGCTTGCATGCCAAGCACTTTACCAACTGAGCCATTTCCCTAGCTACTGTATTTTCTGTGAGACATTTTCTCACATGTCCTAGGCTGGGCTTGAACTCACTGTGTAGCTGAAGATTACTATGTCAAACTTCTGAGCCTCTTGCCTCTATTTCCTGAGTGCTGAGATTACAGCTGTAAGCCACCATGCCCTGTTTATGTGATGCTGAGAATTGAACTTAAAACCCAGGACTTCTTACAGACTAGGCAAGCATTCTATCAACTGAGCTACATTCCCAATCCATACACCATGTCACTTGTGTCAAAACACAGTACTTATACTCAAGTTATCCTTGTGCAAAGGAGATCTTTTGTCAAAATTTGAGCTAATTAATGGCTGTTGAACAATAGAAATGGTGCATTCATTTTTAGTGTTGCTCATTAATTTCTAGGTAGACTATGTGGCATTCCTATCCATATATCTACACTTAGAGTAATAAGCACAAACATACTCACTGCTGAATCTGGCATCAAATTTGTATTGAGACCCAGGGAACCCTCAAACAACTGCTTACAGCCTTTAATGGTGTCTTTCTGTTTAACTCCATAAGACTCCAAAAGAGAGAGATGTTTATGGATAATGAATATACAGTATTAATTCTAAATGGCTTTTATCCTCTTTCTTAACCTGGTCAAATGTATGGATACTGTTTTGTTTTTCTATTCTGACCTTTTGGTTTGTAAATTTGATTGAGTTCAAATGGGATGAAATGTGAGCTATAGATGGGCTATGATGTCCCCAGAAAATATACATTTATGGATAGATATATCTGTTTTAGAACATTTTTTTTGGTTTTTTGGTTTTTTTGAGACAGGGTTTCTCTGTGGCTTTGGAGGCTGTCCTGGAACTAGCTCTTGTAGTCCAGGCTGGTCTTGAACTCACAGAGATCCACCTGCCTCTGCCTCCCAAGTGCTGGAACTAAAAATTAGTAATCAAACCCACCAAAGCAGGTAACAATGTTAGAAATCAATATTCTCCTTGCTACACAGAGGAAGTGGTTTGCTTTCAATGTGGGGAAAGAATTTCAGTAATACAGTCAATTGGCAACGCTTCTGGATA